GTGAAAAGATTAGGTTAAAAAGGCTCCCTAGGGTTTGCTAAGGAGAGGGGAGCATGGTAATACAATAGGATGGGCGCCAACTGGGTTTAGCAGATAGGAGGCGCCCTCCTGTTCTCAGTTTTAGATCCTATTGCTACTAAACGGCGCATGGTTTGACACCGGTGTTACAGTCGCCGGCGCATGATCACCAGAGATAACAGTCGTCGGCGCATGATCGCCAGAGATAACTTGCAATTTCTTCTTTCCAAATTTGAGTTTGTAAAGGGAGATTTTTGTTCTTGTGTTATTCTATAAATAAATAGTCATTATAAAAAAAATAAAAAAAAAAAAGAAGAAGAAGAGTTGATTTCATGAATAACAGTTTGAATAAGTGATTACTTGTTGCTAAGTATTTTTCTCTTCCTCTTGTTTCTTCTTCTAAGTGTTCTATCTCCAGTTTACTTTGAACTGCAAGAGTTCTTCACTTTCTTTCTTATCTCTGCCTCATTCTTTGGTCGACAACAAGCTGTATGTTTACTTCTCTACCTTTATCTTCATTCTTAACTACCTAATCACCTTTCTTCACCCTACAAAGCCCAGCACCAGATCTAAAAGTTGTAGGACCCCCTACTTGTCCCACATCAGACCACCATATTGATTTTATCATGGAAAACAATGACATATAATGCAATAGTCTTCTGCTCTTGTGGGACTAACTGTCTCCTAGTGTTTGACAAGGGAAGGGCTTTTTCATTATTAAGAGTATCATTATTTTTATTTCCGGTTTCCTGATGGCTTGTAGACTTGGGGTTTTATTTTGAGCAAGTCAGTTCTAGATATAATTCTTTTTATTTAGGATGATTCAAGCACAAATGCAGGCCGAGGTTCAAATTTGACAGAGGATGGCCATGTAGAATGTGATGCCAGTATCATGGATGGTGATTCTGGAGCATTTGGAGCTGTTGGGGCGGTCCCAGGTATCTTATACATGGAATTACACAAATCCCCATTACAGTATTTGGATTATCTGACAGATTTAGTTGAATAGGTGAATGTATACTAATCCATTGATATTTTGTTTCTGTTTTGTTTTCTTAACTCTGAGTTTCACAAGTTTTTTCCATAAGTTACTTAGCACCCTTCTCATTAATTGTAGATCAGGTGTACGAAATGCCATCCAGATTGCTACTTGCTTGGCCAAGGAACAAATGATGGGACCTTCTTTGCTGGGCCGACTTCCTCCCATGTAATGATTGTTTTGATGTCATCAATACTAAAATCTCTATGAGAAAATTTTTGCTTTTGCTCTAGATGCAGCCTTTCCAGATATTTACATGTTATGAATTATGATACATATTTTCTTCTGGTGGTTATGATTTATCAACTGCCACACTTGCTCTGCAGAACCAATGAAAGTAAAGAGAAAAGAGAGAGAGAGAGAGAGAGAGAGAGATTGGCCTTTTCTTGCACAAGTTCCATGGTTTTGGTCTTTTTGATAAGAAATGTAAATTTTTAAATTTTCTATTGAACCATTCTGCAGTGCATTATGCACCTCTCAGAGTACTATGATATTAATTGTCCAATCCTCTCATTATTTTGGATTTTTAAAGTTCGTTCAGTGGAAATCTGGTTTTCCTTTTGACATTGCTTGGACTTGTGTTAGAGTAGATGTTGATCTCAGTCACCTGCCAGTTATCTGATTAATCAAATGATTTTAGTTAGATGACCTTATTTGTCTATATCATTAAATTGTCTATAAATTTTCATTCTTCTCATCACAACGTGGAATTTACATGATTCATATCTTTTTCTTTTAATTTTCAACACCCATGCAAATGCCACAATTCCACTTATTTGTTATATTCATGCAAAAGTAAATGACTAACCTGTTGACATTTGGGAAAATTTGGAAGCTGTAATACCTTTGTCAATGCACAAGAATTTTAAAATATGGTACAGTATCTGATTTCGCACAGAGTTTCTATTCTTCTGGGAATCATTTTGTTTAAAGATAAATCAAAAATAAACTTTAATAAGAAAAAGGAGAAAAGAGGAAACAGCAGGGTGATAAGACATCACCCAGCAAAGAACAGACCCACTCTAACATCAAACCCCTTAGACAAAAAGATAAACATCCCTACAATCAAAAAATGACATCCTGAAAATCCCACCCCATATACAACAGCAAAAACCATGTCAAATATGGTGAAGACCCCTTCCACGAACCACCAAAAAAAAAAAAAACAAAAACAAAAAATAATATGCATATCCAACAACCCTCCCAACCCCTGCCCTTATACAATGAAAAAAATACCATGAACCCAACCAGCCATTTCTGATGAGAAGTGGTACTCAAGCTTTATCCATTTCCTCAGCGTATCCCTTGTCTAATACAGAGCTCTCCCTTCTTATCTGAGATGCTTTTTTTACCTTCTTCCCCTTCGTTTTTAGCCCCATCCCAAATACTCCAAACTTTAGCCTGGCAAAAACTTTAGAAACTTGCACCGTTTGATTAATTTTCTTTCTTTGAAATCTTCTTACTGCATTAGGAATTTTCTCCATCTCTGAGGAGGCCTCCCTTCTAGCATTGATTCTTTCTAATTCAAATATTGCATTCTTTTCAAAAAAATTGAACTGCACTCATATCTTCTCTCTTTGACTTCCCCTTCCCTATGTCCCCTTCACCCTTCAAGCTCACCGTTTCCTCATCCATCTGAGGGCCAAAACCAACCTCTATAGTACCTCTATAGAACCAACCTCACCGTTCCCTCTCCTTTTTCTTCCTCCAAAATTTCCTTCTTTTTAAAACCAGCATCTCTAACCCAGTCTTCTCCTTTTGGAGATTCTTCTTCTGCCTGAAGACACTAAACAACCTTGGGATCCACCTTCCCATCTCTGCCTTTTCTCACTGAATCATCTCTTCCTTCTGGCTTGTCCTCACCTGAACCCTTTCTTTAATTTTGATGCTTGGTTTCACCCAGTTAGATAAAGTATTTACTCTTTCCATCATGCACAAAGAATTCCTTTTGCTTTTGAATCATTGGTGCTTCAAAATTTTGGTTCATAAAGTCCCATCTCTTCTCAAGTAATAATTGTCAATGCAAATCATTCTGCACTTCTTTTCAATTTACATGAGACTATACTTGTCCGTTTCCTTTTCTGCAGGTTTTTGGTTGGTGAAGGTGCCCGTGAGTGGGCAAAGTCCAAGGGCATCATTTTACCAGAGACAATTGCAGAGGCTGATGTGGTATATTTTCTTTTCTATGATACTGTTATCCAGTAATTTCCATTTTCGTTTTCATTATTCTGCTTAATGAGAATTGTGTTCATAAGTTTTGATCTTACAGGTCCTTTTGGCTGGGATTTTGATTTTTTTTTCACTTATATTTTCAATGACAGCTTTTACTAACTGGTGTGTGTATGTTTGTTTAGTGGCTAGTAACTGAAAAGGCAAAGGCACAATGGCTGAAGTACAAAGCAATGCTTGATTGTGCAGAAGCTGGGAGCAAATCATCATCTGTGGAACTTTCCTCAAGCTCTCATGAAACTGATGTATCGAAGCCAATAACAAGTCTCTTTCTCCCTCTATCTATCTATCTATCTATCTAAATTTGGTTCTATATTCAAATTTGAATCAGATCGCATCCATTGAATTCATATCAGATTTAAATTGAATTCAGATTGTAATCATATATTGAGTAGCAATAATAAATAAAACAAAAAATGATCAAAATATAATATATTATTAATAAAATGAACTAAAAATGACTTTGATTTTGTATATAATGAACAAAATAAATTGAAAATAACTTGTATGAAACTTGAAGCTATGACTTGTTAATAAAAACACAACATTCAAACCAACTTTAGTAATAGAAACATTACAATTTTTTAAGTATATAAGCAAAAATATACTTACAAAGCTTAAAAACTGAATTAAATAGAATAACCACCCTTACAAAGCTTAGAAACTGAAATCAAATTTCTTCCAAGTAATGGAACATAAGGACATTCTTTTAAAGTAATAGTCCCTTCTCTAAAAACTAAATCTACTGTTCCTATAACAGCAGCTGCAACGGTTGCAGATGTCCCCAAGTAAAGCACGACCTCGTCATCATTCAACATTTCGCTTTCCATGAGTAGAAGCCCTAGAGTCAATACACCAAGATGTAGAAGAAACCAACATATTGGTCTCTATAACCTGAGTTTCAAAATTACCTTCTTTCTTCTTCTTGAGGGATTTCAGATATTGAGGACAATTCCTCTTCCAGTGCCCGGTCTCCTGTAGAAGTGACATTATCTGATGACTTGTCTTTCTTCTGCCTCTTTTGTTTGCCGCCCTTCCTCTGAGGCCTATTCTTACCCTTTCGTTTCTTCCTACCAGATTTACCTCCTTCAACAAGCATGGCCACCAGCTTGTCCTTTCTAATCAGTTATTCGGCTCTCTGCAACATATTGCCGAGCTCTTGCAAGCTAGTTGTTAGCTTGTTCATGTTGTAATTCATGACAAACTGATTAAAGGATGTGTGCAGAGAGTTTAAGATGGCATCAATCTTGGTGTCATCATCCAGCTTGGAACCAAGAGCCTCTGGTTCATTGATAAAACCTATCATCTTCATGACATGGTCATTAGGGGTGGCAACGAACCGAGCTTTTCACAAGCTGCTTGAGCTTGGCTCATGAAAAGCTCGGTTCGACTCGGTTTCAACCGAGTTCGAGCTCGAGCCCAATTCACTAGCTCGATTATGAAACAAGCCGAGCTCGAGCCTACTAGAGCTCGGCTCGTGAGGCTTGCAAGCTGGCTCGAATATACATATATATATATAATAAATTATAGAAAATAATATATATAATAAAAATATTATAATTATTAATTATTATATTTCTTAATTTTTTATTTTATAAAATATTTTTTCTCAAAATTAAGCTCGAGCTTATGAATTTTTGACTCGACCAAGCTCGAGCTCAAGGTTCTGGCTCAAACTGAGCTCAAGCTCAAGCCCAAGCCTTGTAGAACAGTATCAAGCCGAGCTTTAGCCTCGTACTATTTGGCTCGGCTCAGCTCGAATCCACCCCTAATGGTCATGAACCGGTTGGTTCTCGGTCATCCCGGTGGTCATCAACAATTTGAGGACCTTTTGTCATGCAAAACGATTCTGCTCCTCATACATGGTCTTTAGATTATCCAGAATATCTTTGTTGTTTTCTACTTTGTCAAACTGCCTCTGGATAAAGTTGTCCAGTGAGGCAATGATGTAACATTGGGCAAGAGAGTTTTTCTCTTCCCATTCCCGACATTCCCTTCTTGCCTCAAAGGCTTTATCAGGGGGCGTTCTAGTGCCAGGTTGATGTAACATTGGGCAAGAGAGTTTTTCTCTTCCCATTCCCGACATTCCCTTCTTGCTTCAAAGGCTTTATCAAGGGGGCATTCTAGTGCTAGGTTGGTGGCAATTTTGTTCAATTTCTTGGACGTGAGAACCAAGTTAAGGTTACGAAACTAGTCTGTGTAGTTTGGCCCCTTGAGTTTGTTGTCGTCTAACAATTTAGCAAATTGTCTGTGTGCTATTTCTGACAAATAGCACAAACATATTAGTCCATGACCTAATCATTGTTTCATATTATGTACCGTAGAAAGGACTTTTATCTATGTTCCATTTCCATTTGTTCATCTTTGAGATTTCCCTCTATCTTAGGGACGGAGATAGTATTCATATCTCTGGAAATGTGGGAAATCACATAGGTGCATGGGGCCAACTGTTTCAGCTGCATAACCCCATCACTTTCTGTGAAGAATTACGTATCCACCCATCTGATGAGCTTTCCCTTTGGCTTCCATCAGACAAGGTTCATTGCCATTTTAGATTAAACCTTTTTAACTACTAAGTGCTGACCCATCATATCGGGAGCCCCAAGATACTATGTTAGAGTCTTCCATTTTAGGATAGGCCCCTCCCACTAGTCTATGACGCCCCTATCATCCTATGAAGCAACCCCACTGACTGTTTCAGTAAAACGGATAACCCAATTTTATGGTGCATATCCGCCCACCAATTCAATTTGTTTTCATTCTAATGACGAAGGCCGTTAGAGATATCATCTTATGACATTCCCTATCTCATAGCACTTATATTAATCATGAGGGAACAAGTATATCAGTCCTTAGGTCAGCTTTAGGTCTTACCATAGTGGCTCCCACTGACTTTCATAAAGTCATATTCAAATGGGCCCTAAATGAGCTACTGGTTCCCGTGGAGTTTCTCTTTGGAGAGGAAACAAGAGAAGGGCCCATTAAAGGGAGATCATACAATGATACATGGACATCATGGCAATGATGTGCATTTAGCCATGATGGGCATGGAGAGCCACAAAGTCTTTTCACGGGCCAAGCACTTATGGCCCATGTATGAATCACATTCACATAGCACATCACACGCATAATTGATCAAAATCAAATTAAAACATGTAAAACCAAAACCCAATTAGATTAACACATGATCAGCCCATTAATGGACACAATTATCAAATAATATTTATCTTGGTATATGAGCCCAACTGCAAAAGGTAGTTCGACCCATATAGCTATCCATGCTGAAATGGGCTATACTTGTTTTAATCTAACTCAAATTAGGTTTTACAAGCATGGGCCAAGTTCGTCCATATAATGCCCCATCAAACCCCTTGCCTAGATCCATATTTGATCACTTAATCAGTGATTCATGGGGCTGTAATCAGTCCCCAACCAACCATAGGTTCAGCCCATTAAGGTTGGACCAAAACTATGTCAAATTGGCCTAGGGTTTGGTGCCCAAAACATGCATCAATCCACATAGTTTATGATCTGAAAATTCTCAGTTATGATTCATAATCATATCATCAAACAAACAGCAATTAATCAAAATTAAATAACTAGGACTGATAGTGTGATGTTTGAATCCAATCCGGACAAATGTAGGATCCCAACGAACAACTATCTCCAAATCAATCTCCATCTTCCTCTACAATCTCCGGCAAGACTTCCAATTTAAATAAATAGAAAAACCCTAATTTCTAATGCTTACATAAAAAAAAAACCTAATACATTTTTTCTAAAAAAGAAAACAAATTAAGTACAAACCAAATAATCAAATAATCAAATGGTGCACAATAATCTAGCCATCATCAAAGATTTCGATCTCCATTACACTTTCAGCCCAAGAATTCAAGAATTCAACATAGAACAATTCCATAATATATCAGAAATTATAAAGATTAATTTTCAAATCATTGCCCCCAAATCTGAGAACCGGATTCTCAGTTTTTCATTCCGACTATGTCAAATCGGCTAGATTAGTTCTTGTCGATTTGATCGTTCTTTCAAATCTAATTCGGTTCAGTTCAAGAACTGAACCATGTGCTCTGATATCACTATTGGAAGGGTTAGAATCCATCTTATGGATGGCCGAACCATGCTAGATGGTTGGGCAAAATTTCAAATTTTTTCTAACCCTTCTGAGAACCGATTTCCTGGTGTTTTGAGAAACTACATTTTTCCGGATTAATCTTGCACTGAACCGAACCAAATTTGAAACCAAATAAAAAAGGGAAATTATACTTGATACAGATAACACAAGGACAGATCCCAAGGTAGAAGTTCACGCCCAAATTAGTCTTAAAACCAACCTCCACTGAAGATGGCATAGTGTATAGGTGAAGCTGGTTTGGCAACATTGTTTTCTTGCAAAAACTAGGAAAAAACTGATCAAAAATCAGTTCTTGAAAGCCTAGGTCGAATTAGGGTTTCTTGGGAGAAAAAGAGAAGAAGAGAGGACAAGAGAGAAGTGTTCTGGTCTAGTTCACCTTCTTCTTCTTTTATCTCCTTATAGAGCACTCTCCTAATCTAATTAGGAGATTATCCAGGACTCTATTAAGAGATAAGCCTTATCCTTTTAAGAGCATAGGTGCTCCATACCCAATACCAAACCCAGATTCGACCCAAAGTACATGACAACTGACAACTTAATTAATCTTATTAATTTTGAGCCTTAGGCCCATTTGCTTCAAAGGCTCATGACCTAGGGTGTTGCATGGTCACATTAGGCCTGATATTGTATGGCGTGGGACACCACAATGATTTTACACAAGCCCACATGAGTTTGGCCCAACCTTTGAAAGAGGCTAGGCCAAATTCACTACTCAAGGCAATGAACCCCTGACCCAATCAACATTGGTCCAGTTTGGGCTCAACATTTACACCTAAATGATCCTTGGATTCAGCCACCCTATGAAGACCCAAGGATAATGGACTCATGTAAGACAAAGCCCATCAGGTAATCAACCCTGTAATGGTTTCTTATACTAAACTTCTCAGCCCATAATGATTAAACACTGCCCGAAAGGGAAGGACCTCTCCCTTGGCTACAAGGTGTAGTGCCACACTCTCTGCTCGGATGGATCCCGGGATTAAAACCTTTTTCATAAAATAGTAGTATATATAACATTTAAATACTTTTGCAAAACCAAATTTCAAACACAAGCAAAATCCACTGTCGACAGTTTAGGTTTCCATCAGAGAGTGTAAACCCTGATATTCACTTTGTCTAACAAAGGGGTCGATCCTATCATTATGATCACCCACTCAAGTGAATTCTTAGACTGCCCCAACATACCCAGGTATTTGACCCTTAATGGATCTCACTGGTTGGCATATCAAAGGCAGCCCAGTCCAACACCTAGTATAGTACCATAATCAAGTCTGGGGTTATGTGTAAGTTTCTAGTTTCTCCCATCTATCTCCAAGGTCCAGGGCATAACTGGAAATTGGTCTGGGTTTAGTGCTTCTACTGGTTGTGCTTGGGGTCAAACCCTAGCAATTGAGACAAGCTGCTCCAATTCCTTGGCAGCACAACAGTGTCAGCCTTGCCTTATTAGGATAAATTCCCCAAATCTATCCAATGGTTGAGAACATTCTAAACTAACATGAGTTTCTTAAGTGTCCAGTTTAAGGGGTAATACACAAAAGCATACCAATATTAACATGAAACAACAATGTACATACAAACTAATATAAAATGTAGTATTTTGTACTCTACAAATTTGTATTTGTACTCCTTCCAAACTGAGCCTAAATCTTTCTAATATCTTCACTTGTATAATCTTTGATGGTTAAAGTTTTATTTCTGCTGCTTGAATCAGTCTGGATGGCAGACCAATATGCCTATTATTATAAAGCATTAGAAAATTTTCAGTTCGTGGGGATGTTGTTGGTTGACTTGTGTTCCATCGAAGATGAAGAACATGAATCTGGTAAATTTATCATAGCTATATCTTATTTCAATGTGATATTTGCGGTTATATTCCAGAAAAAGGAGCTCAACCATTTGATCCAGTGAGGGGAACTGACAGTGAGCCATCTTTGTTCAACACCTCCAAAGAGGACTGCATTATGGATACAGTTGGAGTTATTTGTGTTGATAATGAAGGACATATTGCATCCGGAGCTTCTAGTGGTGGTATTTTGTTGAAGGTGATGGAAGCTTCTTATCTAGGATCATGGATGCCACTTTTATTCACTTTAATGTTCTCAAAAGTATATTTTTTTCATTGGCTTTTCCTAGTTGACTTTATTTAATTATTTCTTAAACAGCATTGCAGGTTGTGTTCTTCTTTCTGTTTCTCCTGAATGAATGATGAAAACTTCCAGTATTTGTGTTTGAATCTAATTTTTATAGTCTGCCAATCTTGTCTATTCTAGGGCATTGTAAAAAGCAATTACATTTTTCAGTCTTGAACACTAAGGCCATTTGTGATGAAATTTAAGTTATTTAACTCATGTCGAGAGAGAAAGGTTCAGATTTAGAAGTTAATTGGTTTTTCCTAAATCAAGGCAATTGAGAAAATGAATAGAAATGAAATACTCATGCCTTCCAACCTCCAGCAGTCCTTTGAAATGCATCCTTGAGGGTTCCATCAGTTTCTTTCACTCTACTTGTTAAAATATTGGTACTTCAGAGTGGAAATTCAAATTATGACATGATCCAGGATGGTAATTGGTAGAATAAGTTTTTCATTATGGAAAAAACTAATAGGTTTAAGGCTTCCATCTATCTGTTAGACTGTTACTATAAAAGTGATGGATTTCTTTATTTTGAAGGGTACTTACAGGGGTTAAGCATTGGGCTCAATATCATGTAGAGATAACATTAATGAGATTGTTTTTTCACGTAACTTCACCAATACGAAATTGCTTCTCTGTGACGTAAAAGATTAATTCCTGAAGCTTTGAAGTCTAAGCTTAATGCTTAATCATTTCTTACAGGTCAGTGGACGTGTTGGGTTAGCAGCAACATATGGCTCAGGGTGTTGGGCATCCTCAAAAGGTCCCTTTGGTGCTCCTTTTGTAGTTGGTTGCTGTGTATCTGGTGCTGGAGAATACCTAATGAAGGGATTTGCAGCTCGAGAGTGCTGCATTTCATCATCACTGTATGCTTCTTCCCTCTACATAGAAACAATTTTTTCTATCCTTCTGAACCAGACTACAGGTTGCCTGCTCTTCCTTTCTTCTCGTGAAAGTTCATCAATATTATTTTCTTTATCTAGGAGCAAGCAGCTATATAGTTAAATGAAAGATGGGAAGGGCAAAGAAGTTCATCATATACATTTTACATAGAAAAGAAAATTCAGGGGAGAATCTTCATATCAGTTGTCATTACTCTTTTAATGAATAGGTAACTATCTAGTTGGTGCCTGTTGGTTAAGACCTGTTTTAGGTGACAACTGTGCAGCAAACAGGATTGCCATTTTAATTTGAATGTACATGTGGTTAGTTTTATAATGGTGATCGGCAAAGCATTAAACAACTAAGCTTTATTCCAACTATTTGGGTTTGGCTACAGCAGTCTAGCTCTGCCATTTGGCCTTTTAGAGCCTTCAAACTGCACTATTGTCTTAGTATTATCATTATTGGTTGTTGATGCATTGGTTAAATCTTCTTAATACTTCATCTAATATTGTCACTCTGGCTACCTTAGTTTCTAATTTATTCACTCATTTCTAATCCAGTTTGAACCTGGTCCATGTACAGATACCAATTTACAGGGCATACTTCAAGAAATAATTTAGTTCTAATCTATTAAATTAAATGTAATACATAACACCTTACATCTCTTATTTCTTTTATCTATGTGTAAGTATAGCTCAAAATGTGAAAGTCGGAATGCATTTATGTCCACACATACAAAATCTGCAGGCTTTTAGACCCAAATAGTAACAATAGTAATGGAGTCTTACTTTCATACCAAGGTACTGAATTGGTATTTAGACAGGTCCTAATAGGGATCCTTGTAATTGGTTCAAGGTCTAGCTGATATTGGCAGGTGTAGGCCATAGGGTATGCATTGCCACCCTATTACATAGCTGATCCTATAACTGCCTTTTAAATCTGTTCTTGAATGTGATTGATATACTTTTTTTTATCAGTAAATTTGATTGATATACCATGCAACATTAGAAAGGAAATCTCTACTTCATCTGCCTTCATCTCAAAAAATTAGAAAGGTCATCTCTTCTTCATCTGCTTAATTCCGCTTCTATGGTCAACATCCTGCTCATTCTTATTTTCTCATGGATAATTGACCTTAGGTGTTGAAATGGTCTCTTTCTCTTACTTTTATGGATAAAATTTTGCTTGAAATGTCCTTTCTTAGTCCTATCACATGCTTTTTCCTAGCTGAATAAACACTATTTGAATATCTTGTTCTCTTTTCAATAAACTTCTCATTTAATCACTTAAAAGGACGGGGAATCTCCTGACATAAATTTCAAGATGAACTCCTGGTTCTATTATTTAGGCTCCATTTTTTTTTATGAATAATAATAAGTTTATTGATTCAGAAGCAAATTAGAGTGAGTTCATACATCATACCAATGAGAGGCGCGAGCTGCAGCCCCTCCTTGAAACTTACAAGTAAACTAGGAAAGAAAAACAAGAATCACAACTGAGCCCAAAATAATTCTTCCCTATTTACCCCTTGCTTAGCTAACACATCTGACAAGGTATTTGCTGATNATTTGCTGATCTCCCCACCCACTGTACAGTGACCAACATATTCCTTGTCAACCAACTAAATTTCTTCATTTCATTCTTGTATCGCCACATAGCCTCTTCAGAATTTTTCAACCAACCCATCACCACTTTGGAATCCCCCTCCATTTTTTCCATGTAAAGGAAATGGCTTAGGCTCAGTTTGGAAAGAGTAGAAACGCAAATATGTGCAGTACAATACATAAAAAATTATACAAAATACAAGATTTTGCACTCTACATATTTGTATTTGTACTCCTTCCAAATGGAGCCTTAGGGGAAATTGAAACAGACAAAAATAGGTGATAATAGGTGATCTTTTCAGGAAACACATTTTTCACATCCTTGGTTGGATGTAAATTGGCAAAGTAATGTTTTCTTTTGTTTCCAAATGATCTTAGGCTTTTATTAGTTGTTTTCTGCACTTATTGCAAACAAATGGAGTCTCAATCTTTTAATCTCTGCTCAACATGTCCTTGCCTTAAGTTTCATCTTCTGGTTCATAAGCTTGACTGTGTGACAATTGGTGCAGCTTTATATTGTCTCCTTTGAACAACATGGTGTCATTCCCATATTCCTCTCTTATTTTCTTGGCCAAAGAAGCCTATAAAAAGAATTTCATAATTAGGACAAGTCAACCTCTCCCTGGTGCATTTTGAACATCATGTAAAAAGATTTTTTTTCAATTCCTTGATGGAGGACAATTTTGTGGTAATGACCTTTTGATCTTCATCATTTCATTACCGATTTTCTTAATAATTACCCTTTTCCTTGGGTTTTCTTGGGGGCATATTTTGCCACTTTTTTAATACAGCCCACCACCTCGTTCTTCCAAATTTTGTTTTTTCTTTGTTGTCAAATTGTCTCCAAGTAGCATTTTTTCTAATTTTAAACTTCATTAATTAATATGCTTGATCTCATATATCTTTCTACTTTTCTATCTCTTGATACAAAAATCTAGAAGTGATAGCTTATGTTGTGTGATCAGACTCTCTTGACTTTTGAGGCTGACCTTGAAATGTTTACATATTCATCACTTTATCTTATAAGAAAAAGGTTTACATGATTCCTATTTGATCTACTTTTTTTATTGGACCTACATGATCCGCTTTTGATAATTTAAATGCTCTTCTCCCATTGTGAATTTCAAAATCACATCTCTCACATAATTTCTTTCCCTATTCCCAAGATATCCCATGTGTTCTCTTCTTATGCAACATTGTCATTTTCCATATGCTCACTTAAAAGTTAAAACCTGTAAATATTCTTCTTTTTTGAAACTCTGCAATTTATATCATCCATGTCTTTTGAAAATTGATTCTCCATTGATCCTAGGGGCCATTACTTGGTGTAATGGTAAAATCATGGGCTGTCAAGTGTAAGAACATGGATTTGAGTCTGAGAGTGGCCACTTTGTGCAAAAAAAAAAAATGCCAAAGGTTAGGACTTGTTGAAATAGTTTATTTTATTTCTTGTTTATTATTTTCTGTCTTGTTAGGGTCTGTTTGGTCGGTTTAAAATCTTTTTTTATTTGCTGTTATTGTACTTTATTTACAGCAGGGGCACAAGGCTCTTTTTCCCTTTCTTTTAGTCACCCTATAAATATTAATATAATCTGGCACCACCAGAACCATTCCATTGTTGCCAATCTCTCTTCTTCTCTTCTACCTTCTCTCTTCTTCCTCTCTTCCCTTCTCTCTCTTATTTCCAGTCGACTTTATACTGTCAAGATGGTATCAGAGCGGGATTACTGATTGTGAAAGCAGATCGAACAAGACTTCCTTTTTAATTCGACTTGCTGAATCTGAACGGAACAAAAAACTGAATCTGGGCTGAACAAAACTGATCTATGACTGGTACATTCCTTCCTTTTTTTCTTCTTTTATCTTTCTTGGTCGTGTACCAAGAGAAAAATCAAATGAATCTGGGCTGCTGAATGTTGTCAGACCTTTGTGAGGTTTATACCTCCTTTTTTCTTGGATCGTGTGATCCTGTACCTGTGAAAAGGTGACTATAGGTCACGGATGACCTGTTATCCCCAGTGTTTTGTATGATTACAAGTTGTTAAGGATCTCTCCTGACGGTTAATGTACTTAGACATTCTGTAAGGTTGGTAGGTTGGGACTGTTAACCTGTACAGGTCTGAAATCAGTCTGATCTTGCCTTTTTTCTGGAAATTAGTGCTGTTTTTTGTGCTCAGTTTGAGTCCAAACCGAAGTGTGTGTGTGTGTGTGTGGACTGCTTACTTGTGTGGAGCTAAGTGTTTTTTTTGGGGGGTGTAAGGAGGGATCCTAAGTTGAATGTTGAGACTGAAATTCTTTTTTGACCGTTTCCTCTGAGAATTCTGCTAATTCGGGGGTTTCAAGAAGTCAAAATGGAGTGAGTGGGGGAATGGATATGAGTTTTCCCATGGTTGTAATTCCCTTTGATGGACTAAACTACCTTAAATGATCTAGGGGAATAAAACACTACATCACTGCTAGGGGGAAAATAGGATATATTAATGGAAAAGTGAAGGAACCGAAGAATGGAAGTGTTGAATTTGATAGGTGGAACCAAGAAAATAGTATGGTGATGTCATGGCTCTTGGTTTCCATGCTGCCACAAGTAAGGAAGACATTCATGTGGGCTAAAACAGCTTGCGAAATATGGGAACAAGCAAAATCTACTTATTTAGAGTAAAGGCACTATGCCAAGATATACCAACTACAAGCTGAATCCTCTACTTGCAAGCAGGGGGAGAGGAGTCTCTCAGTGTACTACTCAGATCTGACATCAATCTGGAAGGAATCGGATCACTATCAAAATGTGAATTGGAAATGTGATGAAGATGCAAAGGCATACAAGTCACTTGTTTCTTAGCAACGGATATTTGTTTTTCTTTTGGGGTTGAACCTTTCATATGAATCTATTAGAGTACAAATCTTGGGAAGTAAAGACTTGCTATCAGTTCAGGAGGTTTATACCTTAGTCCAGTCAAAAGAGAGTACAAGTGTGATGAATTGTGCAAAGGGGGAGGCGGTTGCCCTAACTATCCGAGGAAGTACATATTCAAATGTCGGAAGCTTCTTTAAGAATGGTGATTCTCAGAAGAGAGTATATGACAAGAGTAAACTTTGGTGCACCAACTGTCAGAAGACAAGACACACCAGAGATACATGTTGGGACCTCCATGGAAAACCTAAATGGGCACAGGAATTGAGTAAGAAGTCAACAATTGATCAGAGTAAGAAACCAATCCAGCAAAATTAGAAAAAATATAACTCAGCTAATATGGCATCTCAAGAGACTAGTCTCGTGGTAACTCAGGAAAGGCACCCTAATTCTGACCCCAAGGAAGAGATTATCAACCCCTTTCGTGACCATTTGGAGATATATGGTAGGACTCTCTGCCAGATGGATTCTGGTTCTACTCCCTTCTACCTCCTTTGCGTCGACATCAAGTAACACTGCAACTGCTTTCCATGTGTTATCCCATACATCTGATTCCCCTTGGATAATTGACTCTGGAGCCTCAAACTACATGACTGGTAAGTCAAATTTATTTCAAGCATATAACCTCTTCTCTGGGAGAGATAAGGTAAGACTAGTTGATGGTTCATTCTCCACCATAGCTGGCTAAGGAACCATATCTCTCCCACTCGGCCTTAACCTCTCTAATGTGTTGCATGTTCCTAAATTACCTATAAATTTGCTCTCCATTAGCAATATTACTCACTCCTTGAATTATTCAGTTACTTTCTTTCCATCTTCATGTGTGTTTCAAGATTTGGCCTCGGGGAAGACGATTGGTAGAGGAAGCATGGTGGATGGTCTCTACGTGTTGGAGAATAAAGCTAGTCTTGTGGCTACAGAGTCCTTCAGTTTGTTCAGTGAGAGTCAAGCCTACTTATGGCACAATCGTCTTGGTCATCTTTCTTTTGAGTCATTAAAACTTGTTTCCAGAATTATTTAAGTCTTTGTTAGTTAGTAAGTTGCAGTGTCAGACATGTCAATTGAGCAAACATTGTAGAAGTTCTTTTCCTTTAAGAAATAAAGATCTGAATTTCCATTTCATATTATTTATTCTGATGTTTGGGGCCCTGTTACTCTACCTACTGAGGCTAGACATAAGTATTTCATTACTTTGATTGATGACTACTCTAGATATACTTGGGTTTATCCTATGCAATCTAGAGATTAAGTGCCCAAAATTGTAAAAGACTTTCAATGCATGGTTTTCACTCAGCTCCAAACTGAAATTCATATTTTCCAATTAGACCACACTCTGTTTGTGAAGAAAGGTGAAGGGAAAATTGCAGCTTTAATCATGTATGTGGATGACATAATGATCACAAGAGACTAGAAGACTAAAATACAGAATCTGAAGGAATTCTTAGCCACTCAATTTGAGGTGAAAGATCTAGGACCTTTACATTATTTCCTTGGAATTGAAGTTACCCGCTCTCAAAAGGGTATCTTTATTTTCCGATGGAAATATGTACTAGATCTACTAGAGGATACATGCAAGGTAGGGGTGAAGCCAATTGACTCACCAATTGAACCCAACCATCAGTTGGGAGACAGTCAAGGAGAGTTCTTGAAAGATGTGAAGAAGTTTCAGAGACTTGTAGGGAAACTCTTATATTTGTCTATGACCAAGCTTGATATTGCTTATGCAGTGGGTTTCCTTAGTCAGTTCATGCACAATCCTAGGACAACTCACTTTGAAGCTGCAGAGAGGATCCTTAGATACCTCAAAAAGTTTCCAGGAGCTGGTTTGCTGTTCTAGAAACATGGACATTTGAAGGTGGAAGTGTATACTGATGCTGGTTGGGCAAGCGTAGTCGATGACCGAAAGTCTACCAATGGGTATTGTAGGAGGAAACTTGGTCACTTGGAGAAGTAAGAAGCAAAGTGTGGTGGCTAAATCCAGTGTTGAAGCAGAATACAAAGCTATGTCTCATGGAGTTGCTAAAATCATGTGGATAAGAAACCTGTTAGGGGAAGTGGGTTTTGCAGTTAACAACCCTATGTCACTCTATTGCGATAATAAAGCTGCTACCAACATTGTTGCGGTGTATGGCGTTTTGTTGGGAAGTATTCCATGGGAAAGTAAACACTCTAGATAACCTACAAAAGAGAAGACCTTTCCTCTGTATTTCTCCTAATTGGTGTATCCTCTGTAGAGCTCACAGTGAGGATTGTTACSACCTATTAATATCTTGTCCCTTTTCTGCAAACCTTTGGGCTTGGCTACTTTCGTTGTTTGGGAGTAGTTGGAGTCTTCCAGCAAGAGTTCACATGCTCTT